CATGTAGCTTTGATGGGGTTAAAGTCAAAGTACAGAAAATGCATCATGAGTTTTAGAGGTTACATGTGTGTAGTTGATAATTGAAAAAGTGTGCTCTCTGCAAAGCTTTTTTGGTAAATAAGTGCTAGTCATCTAAAATGTATACATTGTATTTTCTCATAAAAACACCTACTCCCAATTAACACTCTTGCCTGTATACATCTAGAGACATCCTATGCTTATTTAGACACCTATACCATGGCCCCTTTGCACATGTGGTTACTGGCACTTGTTACAGACAACATAACAGTCACTGACGTATCCAGAAATCAAAACAGGAGGATGCTGAGGGCACGCGAAGCGAGCTGCGATTTTGGCCACACCCCTTTTTACGGCAGTAAAAAGGCGTTTTCCTTCATTTTTGTGAATTACGGGTGGGGTCAAGATAATTTCAAGCATACTACTACTTCTGACAACTTCTGATCACTCCTTAAAGCACAGGAAACTGCTAAAATCATGATCAGGGAGTTAGATAACTTTCTTAAGAGGCTTGGTAGTCCCATGAAAGAGTCCAGGATTTGAGTAATTTTTTCTAAGCCCAGCCATGAGGGGAGTGTTCAAGCCCCTCAGCCCCCCCCCCTTGGATACGCTAGTGACAGTTGTAGCTGAGAAGGAAGTTTTTCTTATAAAAGAAGACTCAACTCTCAAGAATTGCTGGTTATAAATGCCTACTCTCATAATAAACACCTACTTCATTTAAATGTGCAGATCAAAAATGGATCTCTATAAGAAATAAATGCCCACGTGTTTTGAAAATACAGCAATGTATTGCACATTAAAATTATTTATTTCATTTTTTTATATATGACATAAATTACTCACATGAGTTGTAATATTTTGATCAGGTTCTTCAGATAATAATTGCACAATGTTGTTGTATCCTTTTCTTGCTGCTACATTTAGAGCAGTTTCTCCTGACTATAAAAATATGGCAATAAAAAAATTATATACATGTACATGTACATGTAGGTCCCTTGAATAGAACTTTATAATTGATGCTTTAAAATTAGAGCTCTCAAAAGCTTATGCATATGCCTGACTTATCATACAACAATGAAAACACATGTAAAAATTAAAATTACAGGGTAAAAAATTTGACCTTAAACACTCTATTATAATAAGCTAATTTCATTATGAGTGATGCACAGTTGATTCTTGTGCACAACATTGCTAGTACAAGTATGCTCAAATTACTCAATCCTGCTATTTTTTCACCCTCAATTACGCTGATCAAAGGCTAGGTTGCTTCTAAATCAAAAATAAGCTCCACAACAAATTTTAAAGTGACCTCCAAGTGTGAGTGTTTCACTAACAAAAATGCATGCATCTAGATCATCATGCATGAGGTATTTTTGTGAATGGACTTTATCAAAAAAGATAGCTCATTCTAGCCCTATGGAGGCAGTCATTTCATGCATCATTAGTTAACACTCTTAACTAACTTTCAACTGAGACTATGAAGGAAATTTTAAAGACTTTATTCATGTAGCACAGCTGGGAAACTTTTGAAACATTTTTAAAAATTAATAATTATAAGCTGCCTTTAAGTTCATACAATTAAATACATGTATTGAAGATAACACTTTTGATATTTTGTTTATATTAATTACAGTTATCATAATTACTACATGTAGTTTGTTAACTATTGATTAATTATGTAGATGTAAATTGTATGTTTACAAACTTTGGTTTTATTTGTGTGTGAAGTCTTATGCTCTTGCTCCCTTTGTCTGAACAATGAGCTGAACAGCTTTGTCCAGTTCGTAGGGACATGCTACCCTACCATGAGGTTTCACTTGTTCAATGTTTGTAAGGTTTTTTGTTCACCTCAAATACTCGATAGTATCCTCATTTTTGTTGTATGTTTCTATTTAAGTTGGTATCTATTTGTAAAGTTTGAGTTGCAATAAATTCTGTTCGATTGCAAAATAATTTCAACAACATGTACATTGTACACATAACTATACTCACATAATTTGCAGTGCTTCGATCAGCTCTATTATTTAATAGCAATTGTACAATTTTATAATGTCCTCTCTCTGCCGCTATAATAAGAGCAGTATTTCCATCCTATAATAATAACATAATGATAGATTGGTTTCTAATGTTGCTGTTACCTTCCAAAAAGAATTTTCATTAGTGAAACTGAATATAAAAATGTACATGCAGAACTACAAGGTTGAGTGCTCAACTACATGTACTTGGGTAAATGCACAATGGTTCAAATTAGACATAAAGTGTGTGTACACCAAGAGCTTGAATAAGTATATACAGGTTATACACTGAGGTAGAGGTTTGTATGGTATTTATTAACCTAGCAATGCAGTCAGTTGGGAGGTTAATAAACGCCATAGAAACCAATACAGGGTGTACAACCAACTTCTAGAATGACACTTGAAAAACAACTACCAGCTGCTGATAATAAGACCACAGTTGACATACATACAACATATCTAACAGGCTAGGCCAGTAAAGAATCAACCCAGCTTGACAAATGGATTAATAATAAGAGCCCCATAAGAGCATAAGCATAGAGCACCAGGTTTCTAAGTGTTCCAAGGGGGTTTCTAAGTGTTCCCAGGAAGTATCTAATAGATTTAGAAACCTGGTATTCTGCAATCTTATTGGTCAATTAAAACTTGGCATGGTAGAAGAAGTTTTAACTTAATCTTGAAGGTGCTTTATAATCATTGATCATATAATAAGCAGTTGTGCTTGACTTGTACTTATACCCCATGCATATGTATGTACATTGTACTACTCTAGTATTTCTATTCTAAGTACATGAGTATCTAATTATGACAGCTACTTACAACATGTGTAGGTACACATGTTGTACATGTGTATGTACAATACATACACAATTTTACTTCTAAAATAAAATTTAATACTGCAATTAAAATAACTTACATTGTTTGAAGGTGAATGACGAACTCCTTTCTTCAGCAGCAATTCTACAACATTACAGTTTCCTTTTCTTGCTGCTTCAATAAGAGCAGTATTTCCATCCTATAATAATGAGATAAGGATAGATTCATTAGATTGGTTTCTAATGTTGCTGTTGCCTCCCAAAAGGATAATTTTGATAGTGAAACTGAATTCAAATACCGTATATGACATATAATTCATGGGAATCAAATTGCGTAATTTTTGCGTTTTGGAAAAATTTGCAAAAATAAAATCTGCAAAATAGCGTGTTGATTATAGTAGGTGTTGTAATTACATTAAAATTGCAAAGTAATTTAATTTGCAAATACAAAAATGCAGCTAAATCGTGAAACTTTACACCAACAAAATATATAGTGCATACAGTATTTACATTCAGCATCACTATCTAAACTATATTTATGGGAGGCAACAGCAACATTAGAAACAAAATGTATGAATGAGACTTTGTAATTATATGAGGGCATATAATGTTCAGTAAGCAGCACGGAAGTCAAAAGTTAATTAACTGTTTCACAAAGCTTTTGTGAAGCACTTCCAGAAGTGGTTCACAAAACTTTGTGAAATAGCTAATTAACTTTTCATTTCTAAAATCTTGGTATAACTATTTTTGTAAATATTCAACTGATATGGCTAACAGAGAGACTACTATACATGTTTATAATTTCAGAGGTTCAAGCTTCTATTTCTCATGCATGAACACCTACATGTACATTTACATCAAGTTTATTATTATTATTATACTGCATGTATCTAAAAATATAGTATGCATCAATTATCATTTTGATTACTCTATACGTGGAGATTTTCGAGGGGATAAATTTTTGCAAATGATGAATTTGCAGAATTTTGCAAAGCCAAATTTTCACGAATTGTTTTGAAGTGGCACCATTTTTGTAATAATTTGGAGAGTTAAAATTAATTTTCGCATGTTTTAATTTTGCAAATGAAGCCCGTTTTGCAAAATTCATGAAAATTCATCTCCTAAAAATTTTTCACATATAGGGTATTTATTTATGTAAAGGTGTGGTCCAAGAGAGAGACCATGTGCATGACTAGAATGGAATGAGAGAGTTTATTTCCCTAAAAATTCGTTTGTTAAAAGTCTATTTCTCTTCTTGGGCACTCGTGTCGCAGTCAAGAACTTGCTAAATACAAGTGGAGGCAACCAGCCTCGTTACATTAGAATGATAGTTCATAAGTGATAACATTTTGTTAAAAGAAGTAAAATCCAGTAGTATACTCACTGTATTTCTAAGGTAAGTTTTAGCTCTTGCAGACAATAAAATTTGTACCACATCATGATATCCTCCTCCTG